CCATTTGTTTAATTTGTATTTTAATTAAATCTATTCAAACAACATTAGGTTTAACCATCGATGTATAATACTCTACTGGATAGCATGCTGTGTGATGGAAAAACGGTCTGTGCCCGCCAATCGAATTGGCAGGATATCGAGGCGGACAGGCCGAATGAACCTCTGTCTTTTACACAAACATACCTTCACTCAACCTGCCCTGCTTCACTTATTTACCAACGTAAAAATTTTAAAATTTTATTTTTATTTTCTGGGAAAGACAGTGCTTCTTACTGTATAGTTTGTTTTAACCTAAACATATTTTTATAATTTATTTAGGAAAATTAAAACTGATAATTGTTTTTTAACACAACTAAAAACATGAAAAATGTAGTAAGCGAGGAACTTTTTTATTTTTTGGTCAGGAAAAAAATTCCTGCGGCAAAGTTTTAGATTTAAGTATGAATTTTATTTTTTAATCGAAGCTTTTTTTGATACGGAGTTTGCTTGTATCATTTTTAAGCGATTAAAAATAGGCATACGATTGCTAGGAGCTCGGCCGGCTACTGTCAGGGAAATAAATATGTGCATTCAAGTTTGAGCCTAAATATCTCTTAGATGAATTATTCAAGTTTGTTGAAACAAAAATGAAATATAAACTGGTTTAAATACATTTTATGTGGTAACAACGAAAAAAAATCCGTTTACCAGAAAAATTTATATAGTTGAAAGATCCTAAAAAGTACCGGTTTTTAAGAAACTCTGCACTAACACTGAAGTTTAAAATTTAATTGTAAACAAACCAATGAGCTAATCTTTCTGAAATTTTTATGACTTATTGGTAGGTTTATTGTTAACATTTCCATACATTTTTAAATTTTTACTTGCAATAGTTTTTATGCTGCTGTTAATTTTTAAAATGTAAGCTAATATCGTTAATGAGACGCTAAAAATTCCGTTCAAAATACCATTGTGTTTGCCGTGACACAAGAAATAACACCAATATTACAGATTTATAACACAAATAAATGTGTTTTTTAAACAGATTTATATTTGTAAACAAAAATGTCTCCCGTGACTGGCAGCAGGCCACCTGGTGTATGTACAATGTTTAGGGAATGGGCACACGGGAGGGACTAAGGCTAAAGGTGTAGTGATGTCATATCTCTAGTGGCTAATGTCTTCTCTTGAGGCAACACGATTACCGTAACGAGACGATTTGATTTCAACGTGGTATAGTTAATATCATTTCAGATTGGTGTTTAGGAGGTCCTGGGTTTGAAACCAGCCGGGGACATTAACTTTTTGTCAACGATTTTTGCTTGGAATGCAAATACTTCTTAACTGTACATCTTTTGTTAGAATTTGATGCATTTATAATTTTATTTATGAACAGAACTTTTTTTTTTAATATTGAACCTTTATTTGATTTTTATCTTATATCTTTTTTATAGTATCAGCAGTTAGGTTAGGTTAGGTTAGTTTAATTTTATAATACTAAATTTTAAAATTAATTAAAAATTATAAGTAATCATTAATTAGATTTTTATCATATAGCTTTTATATTATCAGCAAGTCTGGTTGGTTAGGTTATGTTATGACAGTTTAATTTTAAAAATTTTAAATTTATTTTAAAATTAAAAAAAATTATTTTATAATTAAAAAGTTAATTTCATAACAAAAAAAAAATAAATTTAAGTTTTTTCAACTTAGTGGTTCTAGTGGCAAACACTGACACTACAAGATATGTTAGCCTTAGTCCCTCCCATGTGCCCCACCACAATATTTAGGCATCAGTTTACGGGATTTAGATACTCAGTTTCTGGCATTTAATTATCATAATACACATTAAATACATCACAACACTCAATCTGTAGAACTCATTTAACTTTCAACGGATAATAAAATTATGTTACTTATCAATTCCCAAATTTTTTATTGCTGAACTTGCACTTTTGTTTATCTTCTTAGATGATTTTTGCTTTTCTTGGGCATTAATAGACCATGTGTTTTTGCCCGAAATCATCATCTCGTTCGATTTTCTCACTTTTAATTCCTTTAGTTGTCCACAGTACAAATTGGCAATAAGTTAAGTTCAATTTGCTTTAAGTTCAATTTGACAATATATTTTTTCAGTACAGGGAAGTTGGTAAAGTCAAGCACAATTTGACTAAAATCGCAAACATACTGTCAAGAAAAACTGAGACTACAGTTATTTGTACAATTCCACCAATACCCAGGTTGGAGATTGGCGAAGTCAACCAACAACGTTATAGGAACTGTCAGTTAAGGTTGAACCAACACATCCTGTCGTTGGCAAACAGTGAGTAGTGATTTATTTTGCTGCACATTACATGAATCACAATTTTTACTTTGTCAATTTATTTAAGCCAGTCTGTATCGTCATGGAAGACTTTTGCATGACAAAACACAAAGCAATAAAGAAATAAATAAATGAAAATGTGATAGAAACCTTTCTAGGCAATAAATTCCAGCTTATTTAAGTTTTATGCATATATAAGATAAATTGTACTGTTAATAGATAAAATAAAAGTTCTGGACATGGACCATCTATTCATCAGACCAAATGGCAGTATAGCAATGGATTGGTTTGAAAGGTAGGTTGTAATATATATACAATTTGACAAATTATGTGAACGTAGTGTTATAGAAATGTTTGTATAGGCTTTTTACTATTTTAACTACGGTAAAAAATCAATTTACATTGTAGATTGGGGTTAAGTGCAGTGCAATTAGCCAAAAGTTTTGATTTGCTTAGTACAAATTCAAGAAGTGCTTTAGTCAAAACGACATCACTTACTAGTAACTATCATCACGAAACTTTCAAAGCATATAAAGTGATTCGTGATGGGGAGTATTTTTCTAAACACATTCGACATAAACCATCTTTAATTTATATAAACTACTTAGCTCTACTTCATGGTAGAAAAACTTATATAACACAATGATAATAAAAAAGGCTAATAATAACAGGATAAAAAGACAACAAAACAGCAGTTCATATTTGGCTGACTGAGCATTGATTGCAATGCGTAAAATATGATTATAAACACTAAACTTGTTTATGAACAGCTCATGATTATTTTATTTATTTATTTTCTGTACTTATTTCACAAGCAAAACCTCAACCCGGAAGGAGTCATAACACTTTTCAACCCCCATTCTAAGAAATTATAATAATAGTATATAAATAGCTAAACAATATAGAGAATTAAAAAAAAAGTAGGTAACATAACAATGTATAGTAATAGTTAATCCAAATTTGAACATATGTAGCAATACTCTTATTATCTACAATATTAGTTTACTTTACTTTACTTTCTAATTTATTTTGTAGAGTAATGGGATCTGGACATCGCCGATGACCAGACATGATTCATTGGAATGGCAGAGGGATGGAAATGGTTGGCCGATATCTATTGGACAGTTTGGTTTAGGACGAATAGAATGAAATTCAGTATCCTATAGACCGACAGCTGTGCTGCGGTTTGGTTAGTGTAAGTTGTGGCGTATACCGCCAGAGTGTAGTGAAGTCAAGTAGCATGTGCACCTTAACTACTAATTACATAGTAAGAAACTGTAATTTTCGTTGTAAATAATTTCCTTTTGTGTCTAATGCAGAGGGCAGCCCACATATAGTTGTTTGTACAATTTACTTTCTAGCACTAGAAAGGTTATTTTATTTGTCAGAATTTAAAACCAGTTAAAATTTTGTTTAAATATATACACTAACATCATAATAAGTGAATATTCAATATAATATATACCATTTTTATAATTGATAATTGTATTTGGGCTGTAATGCAGGGTTCTGTTGTGTTGATTATTTTAACAACAGATCACGGTCCCCACCCTGTCGAAAATTGTCTGGTCCTTACTGACATAATTTTATTTTATGTAGAAAGGTGACTGGTCTGTACTGGGTGACTGGTATTTCGATGTTTAAGGTGAATTTTGATCATTTCTCACCACTTTTAGTTTATGTACACTGTAGTATATGTGGTTTATGTAGTTTTTTAGGGGAACGATTAGGGGAACTTTAACCTATTTCTACCACTTTTATTTTCTTATAACATATGTACACTTTTAGTTTACATATACCTTAACTTATTTCAGAAATAAAATATTTGGGAATTGATAAGGAACATAATTCTTTTATCCGTCGAAAGTTATCTGGACTTTTCAGCGTACATGGTATGGAAACGATTAGGGGAACTTTAAGCAATTTTCCACCACTTTTATTTTCTTATTTCTTAGTTTTATTATCCGTCGAAAGTTATCTAGTTATTTCAGAGTGAGCGGTATGTAAAGGATTAGGGGAACTTTAAACTATTTTCCACCACTTTTATTTTCTTATAACATATGTACACTTTAAGGCGACATGTACCTCAACTCATTTCAGCAATAAAAAGTTTTGGAATTGATAAGGAACATAATTTTATATTCCGTCTAAAGTTATCTGGTTTTTTCAGCGTACGCGGTATGGAAAATGATAGTTTTCTTATAACATATTTACAATTTAAGCTAACATATAGACCTACCTCAACTAATTTCAATAATATATAATAATATAGGGTATATTTAAACATTGAAATAAACATTTATTTATGCTGAGTTTTTATGGTTACTTTTATATTTTAAACAGTAGCTTTATATAGAAATGATTCTATACATTATTTAGGTAATATATATGTATAGTGTATTGCAATAAAAGTAAATAACTATACAGTTTTCCACTAAATGTATACTTTGTCTTTATATATATATTATTTAAGTATACTACATAACAAACAAGTATAGTGAATTATTTTTGATTTGGAAACCTGTAAATTATCCATAGTAGCTATGGTAGTAGGTAAATTTCATTTGCGAGGTCTTTTTTTTTTTGCATCGACTGTACTACTCTAAGCTAGGCGGTATCTGATTGGTTGAGAAGGAGAAGAAGGGAAGTCGTTGTGGGAGGGGAAATAATGTAGGGTCGACAGCTGGCGATAGCTGTCTTCACGATTGTACCATTTTTGTCAATTTTGTTTTTTATAGTAGGCCAATATAGTAGGAGATTGGTTGGCAACACTATCAATCAATTATCAATTATATGGGGACGCCACTGTTAGAATGTTCTAAAGGTAAGTTTTTCAATGTCTTTGGCATGTTATTAATAGGCCTAACTTTATTTACGATTTCCTGAAAGTTCCAATTTTCCACATGTAGGCTATGTTTTCTTTTTTCAGGAAATACTTGAGCTATCTTACTGAGTACTGATTTTTACTCATATTTTGTGTACATATAACTTATACACAACCCCTAGTACTTTAACAACAGCTGTAAACTTTTAAAAACATATCCAAACCATAGACTAACCAACACAAGTTTTATCTATGTCCAAACTATACCATCCTAGATAGGCCTATGCTACAGGAGGTAAGTTATGCTTAAGCCTATCTCATGTATAAAATGTTGGTACAACTGGTTAGGTTAAACATGGGTAAACTTCCATATTTATTGTCAAAACAACCTACTGAAAATATCAATCTATTTTTATTCGATTGTTTCAACAAGGTACAGTTTCTTAACTAGGCTAGATGTTATATTAATCGAAACTAGGCAATTGATTTGATTAGTAAACCTTCATGTAATTTTTTTACCATTAGTAAGTTTGGTTGGTTAGGTTAGGTTATGATAGTTTAACCCTCTGAGTGTTAAGCGTCGCATAATCGACGCACAACAACCCACTGTGGTGTTATGCGTTGCTTTTGCGACACACAAACATAGTTTACGGTGAAGGCTCTGGGACTGGCGGAATCATATTGAACTGGATCGAGATTATCAATCTATTTTTATTCAATTGTTTTAACAAGGTACAGTAATCAAAACTAGGCAATTGATTTGATTAGTAAACCTTCATGTAATTTTTTTACCATTTGTAAGTTTGGTTGGTTAGGTTAGGTTATGATAGTTTAACCCTCCGAGTGTTAAGCGTCGCATAATCGACGCACAACAACCCACTGTGGTGTTATGCGTTGCTTTTGCGACACACAAACATAGTTTACGGTGAAGGCTCTGGGACTGGCGGAATCATATTGAACTGGATCGAGATTGGTATTATTGTTTTCGGCAGATTCTAAGCTTTCTCATGATGTCTTTTTCTAGACGCTTTTCATTTTAGTTCCAAAAATATTGTAACAGACAGCTGTCGTGTGTATTTGTAAACGCTTAGTTAACCTTACACCGATGACTGATGTGTTTTATTACATTTATCATTGTTTTAGTGTTAAAAATCAAAAATAGTGATATACGTGGTGCATTATAAAAAGATTTAAGTGATTTTGAAGGGATGGTTGATGATCCTGAAGAAGTAGGTAGTGATATTGATGTAAATTATCAGCCAGATTCCTAGCTATGGTTAGGCTATATATTCTTAGCTAAACACTATGTACCGAAATCTGTTTTTTGCCCATAACTTATTTATTTACAAACCTACCTCCTTTATTATATTTTTGGAATCCTCATAAAATTCTGAACAAAGTGGCTATTTTAAAATATTTGTAGACCTATAAATTATAAATAGATATAGGCCTAGGCTATTTATAAATATCTATTATTAATCAATATTTTCGATTCAATAGTTTCAATCGATATTAGCATAGCCCAGTTAAAAAACTGTACCCCGATATATCATGTGGTTAACTAGGTTAACCTAACCTAACTAACCAAACAATATATTGATCAATATTTTCATTCAGTTGTTATTGACAACAGATACAGCAGTATACTGTTAAGTATATCTACCAAAATTGAATAGTTAGGTCAAGGTACAGTTGTCTATAGCCTATAAATATAATAAGTATGTACCGGTAATACATCTAGCCATTGATGATTGTTACTGAGTCAATTTTAAACATTCATTGCAACAGTAGAAGACTAATAATGAAGTTTACCCTTCCAATGTATTCTTGTTGGGTATCAAGTTAATGGAAATAGAAGTAGAAAGATAATATTTATTTATATTAGCCTGTTATATTTTAAGTAATGTATATTTTCTAGTTGTTTTAGGAGGTGGTCCCAGTAAGGAACCAAAAGAAGATCCAAATATTGACAGAGTAATTTCCCTCATTAAAACTAATGTAGAAGGTTTCAGCAAAATCTATGACTTAGACTCTCTATTCAAACTTTAGGTAGGTATTACTTTAAACCCAGATTTACAATACCACCATACCAAGTATAGCTGTATGTCATAACTTAACCTCACTTCACAGAGAAGTGTATTGTTAGAGCATATAGTAAAAATGTTGTCAGGGTTAATATTTTTTAAATGCACATCAGTTTTTTTTTAATTTTATTACATAGGCCCTACTATAATTTATTTTGTCATTTAAGATTAAAACTTGAAAAAAAACATTTAAAACTTAAATAAATTAATATAGATAGTAATTTATTTACACATGAGTGAGACATTTTTTTCCTCCAGACAACGACTCAACTGCTGAAAATGGAAACTTTGAATGAGCTCGAGATATGTCAAGATGAGTATAACTATGCTTTGGAATCTGAGGTAAGTTTAAGTTAAAAATTTTAGTTGGATGATTTCTCTCTAAACATCTATCCTAGTTTAAATCTTAACATCAATTTTGTATTCTTTTATTTTCAAAAGTCAACATGTAGTTTTGTATGCCAAGAATATAAAATGAGTAAGTTTTAAGTTGTTTGATTATTTGTTTGTTTAGGTTAAAGTTTTTCTGTTGTAGTTTTGGCCTTCAGCTACATGTTGTGCAGGCTTTGAATAGACTTTGGCTGACAAAAAAACAAGTATTAAGTACCTTCTGTGCATTGGTATTACTTTTTTTCACCAATTTTTTTCAAGGCACTAGACCCATTTCTGAGGCTGGATTTGTTTAGAGTTTAGTTGGATCTTTGGCAAAGCTTTTGTGTAGTCACACCACAAATTTTTCTGGTTAGGCCAGATATTACCCAAAAAACTGCCTTTTGAAACTCACTTTTGTGTGGGCTATGGTCCATTTGTTTTTGGTCCCTGTTAACTTATTATTAAGCCTAAGGCCTAGTTTTTGCTCATTTTTGTGTTGTTATTGAGGCCTACAACTTGTTTAATGTAAATTTTGTCCCTCTGACCTATTTAATAATTGTGTTTTTTATTACCTATTTATTGTTGTAGGCCATGTTACTCAGCCTAATTCTTTTATAGTTAAGTAATGGCACCTTCTGAGGGCCAAACTTGGTCATAATTATTTAGTATTAGTGTTTTTACATGTCCCCTGCCAGTTTCTCAAAATTTAGTTTATTATAGTTGAGTTATTTAAATGTTTTTAGTTATGTAGCGCATTTTTGAAAACTGAGTGATTTTAGGTAGTCAACTCCCTACTTGGATTCAGGTTTTTTTTTAGGCATGGTTTTGTCTTTTAAAAGATGTGGGCACTTATACCACAGCTTTTAAAAGCAATTTCAACAAATTTGGTTGCTAATAACCCGAGTTATTATTAATTTTACCTGATATTGTACCTCCAGCCAAAGAATTTTAGTAGTAATGAGTTTTTTGATTTTTGAAGAATTTATTGTAATATTTATGTATTTGTTTTATGTTTAATTAATGTATTTTATCCTTCTGGACCAGATAATTCATATATTTTTATGTCAACTTAAATTTTTCATGAAAATGTTTGCCAGAATGCGTTGTTAAAATTTGTAAGTTTCAAGAGTTTATTTATTGTTATGTCTTTAAAGCTTTATTCAACTGAATTAATTTATTTCAATCATTTTCTTATTATAACATTTAAAAACTGTTTAAAAAAATGGAAAACCTATTTAAAAGAAAAATAATTTTAATAAAATTGTTTTTCAATATTTTTGTTCATTGTATGAGTGGTGTGGAAATTTTTTTTTTAATTTATTGCTTGAAAAACTGGGTAGGCCTAATATTACATTCAAATGATGTCTAAGTTATAAATTATTGCTAGTTAGATCTGGAACTTGTTTAAAAGGTTCCAAATGTGAGGCTTTAACAACTACTATCCTCAGAGAGGATCACCCGAAGGGACACTCCATCTTCTGCCTCCTTGGGCTGCCAACGACCCAGCTTTTCCAGGGACCACTAAGCCACCATCGCCTACCACCAGGAAGGATAATGATTATGCCAACTTTATTACCGTAAGTTTTATTTTAGTCATTTTAAAAACATATTTTTAATTTACTTGGAAATATTCCTGAAATGAAAGAAGAGTTGATTAAATGAGCCAATGGTTTAGCTAAAACATCTTTAGTACTTTTTAAAACAGGCATAGGAATTTCATCAAAACCACAGGTAAACTTGTTTTCAAAAGAATAAAGAATCTTGTCTACTTCAGCTTCATCAACTGGCTTTAAATAAAATTTTACTGAATTTGCAGGATTTGAGATTGCACCAAGAGCTCCCGAAGACAAGTCCCCAATCCTATCCACCAAACTTACAAAATGATCATTAAATATTTCACATATATCATCGGGTTCAGTGTATTCAAAGTTGCCAATTTTTAATTGGATTTCATTTTCACGTACTCGGTTTCTGTTTAGTTCCCTATTAATAATCTTCCAAGTAGTTTTTGAGACATTACTGGTTTTTCTTATATTGCTTTCAATTGGGCTGCGTAGCTTTTTTTCAGGTCTTTTAGCTTTTTTATTAAAAACTTATCCTTATTTACCCTAATTTCTCAGCTTAATAGTATTATTTCATCTTTAGCTAACTTAAGTTCCGGAGTTATCCAATTTTTTGATTTTGAACAGGCATGAGACTTTAACTTAGGAAAGCAACTATCAAAATAAAACATAAGGATATTAAAAAATACATATTTTTCCTCTACAGTCGCTAAATATAAATCAGTCCATGTTTCCTGTGCAAGATAATTTTTGAATTTGTTTATATTTTCAGGAAGGAATTTTCTACTAGATTTAATAGTAGGTTTGTTAAACTTTTGTTTAGAAGAGATGTCCCGAATTTCCAAAAATTGAGTGTCATGATCAGAGAGCTCAGTGATCAGGCCTGATACTAAAAGATTGTTTTTAGGAATTGTAGTAAATATATTATCAATACCACTTTCACCCTCTAATGTTATTCTAGTAGGAAAGTCTATCAAATATCAAATAATGCATATTATATTCATTTAAAATATTATTGAATATCTGATAGTCCTTGGAAAACTTAAGAACATTAATATTAATGTCTCCAGCCACAATTACTCTTTCATATTTATCAAAAATAAGGCCTAACAAACTATCTAATTTTTCAAGAAAAATATTTTCGTATACAGACCCTGGAGTTCTATACAAACCAACCAATAAAAATATGAAATCATTAACTCTCACCTCAATCATACAACATTCAAAATACTTATCCTTAACCAAATTTTCATTTAGAGGAATTTTTTCTTGAAAACGATACATTAATTTGATAATTTTTTATGTTAACCCTAGTGATTTCATCTGGTTTCAAATCATGCTCAGTTAGTATTATTACATCTGGATTTAATTCATCTATGGTTATTTCTAGTTACTCAATTCTTGATTCTAAATGTTGTATGTTTTGGTGGAAAATTTTGAATTTTGAATTTTTAATTAGTCCTATCTTTTTATTTGTGGTGTCTTGTCCAGTAAGTTTAAAGAAGAATCAAGTGGATTTATTACATAATTGTCCTTATCACTATTGCTACTTTCTATTACATTATTATTTAAACTTTCACTGCTCTGCTTTTTTAAAACACCTTCCGGTATCTTGATCACTTCACTAAATAAAAGATGACCTGGAACTGTTGGTGGGCTGCTGGTGCTGATGGTAGGGTTGTTGGGAGTTATCGGCTGGGGTTGAGGTCTGCTACGTGTTGAGGACACGGCACTCACACTCATACTCTTGGTGGATGCGGTTGTTGGTTGAGGCTGAAACATCTCTTTTTGTGCTGTGTCTGTGATGGTCACACCATTGGACTGGTTCTCTCTATGCAGCTCTTGTAGTGTTGTGTCACTATTAAGCATCTCTACCAACAAACTTGCAGCTGGTGGAGTAGTGGTAGTGGTTAATGTAGTTGAGGATGACATGGGGGTTGAGGTGGCTGTGCTTAGCATGGCTTTGGCTGGTGGAGGTGAGGCTGAAGTATTTATATTTTGCATGCTTGATGAAGTTGTCAAAGTCATACTTGTTTGCTTTTCATATTCTTTAGCTATTGCAGCTCTCAAATCCTGTAGAAAACTACTGTAAGAAAGTCCATTAAAAAGAGTTCTTCGTGATTGTTGATAGTAGGCAACTATTGTGACAAAAGCTTTAGTTTTCTTCTGAAATTTAACTATATTTAAAGCAAAGAGATCTAGGGATATTTTGTCTCTCACACAGCCCATGGGGGAACATATCAGTCTTTTTAGTGATCTCTTGCTAAAATCCTCTGTAAGTTCTTCAAATGCAGCATTGTATTCTTCCTTTGTAGGTTTACAATTATAAAAAGGCTTAGTAACTAGACTGTACACCGAGGGTCCTTTGTTTGGCTTTTGAAATGTCAGACATTTACTACAATAGTCTTTGTAGGATGGCTTTCCAAATCTTTCCTTAAATTTCATTGCCACTCCTGCAGTCATGCTTCAGCTACAATCTAGATCTCCTGATATACAGTGGGAAAAACCTATTTCTTCACAGTGGCTAAAATCATCAAAAACTTGTTTCATATTTGCCTCAATAACCTTAATTTCTTTTGGGGACTGTTAAGCATGACTAGGATGGGTCTCCTGAATTTTTTTAATTGTTTTATAAATTTCTTCACAGAGAACTTGTTTGCCTTGTTTATTAAGGTGTTGACCGTGCTGGGTAAAGTGGAACCTTTTAAACCTTTTGCAGTTTACTAAGTTGACTTCTTTGGTATTCAGATTGAAATTTACTCTTCGAACTGACTTGTTTATTATATGTTGAGGCGGAAGGTCAAACCTGGGGAACAGAGGAACTATTGCAATGTTGGTGTGGTCATTTAAAGCCGTATATTCTTGAAAAACACTTGGCATCCTTTCAGCTGGGTCGACATTTTCATTAAGCATTTGTTCTACACTATTTGAGCCTGCGATAATGATAAGCACATCTTCATTCTTCAAATCTTTAACATACTTTTCAGTATTTTTTAACACATATCCAAGCGGCGCCCCTGGGGATGTGGTAACATGTACGTTGTTGTTTGATGGTAAACTATTTATAAGAATTTGATGTAGGTTCTTCCCATGACTGTCAGCATATATACAAACCCTTACTTCTTCGGCATTCTGAATATTCTGTACAACATGTTTTAATGAAGAATTCTTCTGTTGCTTAGTTTTACTTACTTTGGTGCTTTTGTCAGTTTTTTTGTCTTTTGCATCCTTAGCATGTCTCACACATGAAGATGGTGTAGAACTCATCTTATCCTCTCCTGTTTGTTTGGAAACCGGCATAGAACTACATTCTTCACTGCTTAGCAAATCAAACATATTTGATGTTGTAAAAGGTTTATCCTGCGTGGCAGTAGTGTTGGTTTGTTTTGCATTTGTATTTACTTTGTTTTTCCTTGATACTTCCCTCCACTGATTGACATTTTTGGATGTACAAAAATTGCTATTTAATGTTCTATGTGCATCATTAGTACTCGTTGGTAAGTTATTCTCAGTAGAGTGTTGCTTTTGTTGCCTCAACAAAGCTTTTATAGTGTTGTAGTATGAATTAACGGAAAAATCTTCATTAAACATTCTGTGATTAAATTTAAACAACTTATTTTCAACCATATTGCACACAATCTCAGTGTTATGTATAACAAAAACACCACACTCGACACCTCCCTTCTGTTGTAGACACTTCGCTTCTATAACATGACAATTGTCGAGCAGTTTGAGGCCCTGGGAAAGCTTGGAGGCGAGTTGGATAGCATGATTATGGTTGACTCCAGTTACAGAATCATAGTGGTAAAAATTGGCTGTAGAACTGCAGTACACCAGAAGTGACCAGTGACTACCTCCACTGTGTTGTTTCCCATCATTGTTTACCACTGATATGATGTAGTCATAATTGTGTAGGTTAAGATTGCTGCAAACTTGGTGAATTGTAATTGAGTCATCTTCCACCTTCATAAGTTGACTAACGGACGGCGGTAGAAGAAAAACATTCCCTGGGTGAGGTTGACTGTCAAACCATGACTTTATCTCTTCATCTCCCAACATATACCACAAAGCTGTTATGTCGGTTCTGTCACCTGCATTTACTCTACTGTAAGTTCCGTTATAGTCTTCTATGGTCGATTCTAGATCATTTAGTTTTCTTTTAAGCATCTTGACATCATTCTCAAGAGCCAATTTGTCCTTAGTTAATAGGTCAATCTTAGACAATCCTTCCAATTTATCTTTTTCTAGTTGAAGTATTAGGTTGTCTTTAAAACTGTTGTCTTTCTGCGTCTTGTTTTCAATAGAGCTTATGAGCTTTGTCACTTCAATTTTCTTAATATTATTCTGTTCAGTTAAGCTCAAAATTTCTTGTTGTAGTTTATTTATCTTGTCTTCAAGCTCCCATTCACGCTGGCTTTTTGAATTCCTTAAGTCATGAATAGTTTGTTTTAGAATGTCATTTTCAGCTAACAATATATTCCCTGCTTCTGCTGCTAGACTTAGTGATGTCTCTATATCCTCTTCTTCTTTAAAGTTATTTAGTTTCTCCTTTAAATCACCAATTTGTTTGTTAGTACTTTTCTTGGCACAGAAAATTCGAAAATTCCTGAAAATTCGAATCAGGATGTAAAGAAAGCAAAAAGGTATAATAGATTAAAATGCATTAAATTAAAATAACATAAAACATGAAAAGGTCCTAATTAAGTATGCTAGCTAACTTTCGTAACAAAGTTATACAGTCGTGTCGATTATCATGCAAGCGTAGATGTAACGACGAAGTTATTTCGAAGACGGCATTTGAACGAATAATCCTGTCTTATTTTGAAGACGGCATATGAACGAATAATCCTGTCTTTTAGTAAAATCCTTCGTTCCTGCCTGCTCGAGGCTTACGCGCTCAAGCGGCGAACTTTAGTACTACTAGATAACAGCTGATTGAATTCACTTGTTAAGCTGGTCTAGTTTCGTCTGTCATCTGTCAACAAAACACCAGTTTGGGGGTTATGTCGTCGTCA